AAATAATTTTTAATCGCCAAAGTATTAGTTTTATAATCAAATGAACAGGCTGCCATCTATCATCACGGTAGCTAAACTACATTGCAACATCGATATGGAACGATGCGAGTAGTTTTACTATTTATCGCTTTGATGGAAAATAGTTAAGTGGGCGGGGCTTACCACCCCCTCACCCCGCAAATTATCACGCATTTTTACATAGTGAAATTTAATTATAACACCTCTTAGTATTTGCTCCGTGGACAGCACCCACGCTAACGGAAGAAATGAGGCGTTGAACGACCTGAAGTCATAGATATCCCCGAATAACCTCAGCTTTTAATTTAATGATTGCAGATAAAAATTAAAAGACATAGTATAAATATAAATGGAGGGTAAGCAAGTTTATAAAATGCATGTTATTAACTAATTTATTTAGTTAGTAAAGTAAAATAATAACACTGAAGAAACTTGTCCGATAAATATTTTTATTATACTTTTATTGCACATTTTGAAATGAAATAAATTATTTACGTAGGCCCGAACAAAACTGGTAGGTAGATATTTACGCATTCATAACTTCGATAGCAGTTATTTTATCGAATTCGTTCGTTTCTGTATCACTGCCATCGCTCCGTTCTGTGTTTATCGCAAATTAACGAGCGTAAAAAGTCAACAGAAACAAAAAATCAACAGTAACAAAAACAACAACGAAAACAGTAACAATGCGTGAGATCGCACGGGAGCACAAAGAACGGACGTAGATACATTTCAGCGTTGCTATTGGTACTATAATGGCGATGCTTGAGACGCGGTATGAGGGAGCGCGGCGGGAGGTATAGGCAGGCTAACTCAAACACGGTTTTGATGAAATTTTTTGTGTTTCAGTATATCCCTAGATAGTTTAGATTCACATTTGACCCGGTAGGTGGCGCTGTTGTCGAGATCTAGAAATCATCAGTGCGAAGCCGGGGCGGGTCACTGGTGTATTATAAAAATAAATAAATAATAAGGTTTTTTTGGGCCAAACCATTATAATTAATAGGTTGCATGTAATATATAACAAGAAAAACTATCGTTGCTCAGTGTACTGACTATGTTTTCCTGTATTTAAATAGCCACCTGCCATCTGTGATAGTGAAAAAATAGTTGCTTTGCCTTCGCTGATAATAATCGCCATTTTGTCAATTTTAATTTAATTTTACTCAATTCGACTATGTTTTTTTTATGTGGGTTACCTCATAACTTTTTTCTGGGTGAATCGATTTCGATGATTCTTTTTTTTTTTATTGAAAGCTGATGCTTCTCATGTGGTCCCTTAAAAATCATCAAGGTCTGACCAATAGTTTTTGAGCTATTCTTAAAATTTATATTGAAGTCGGTTGTACAAAATTTTAAATTATGTTTACCTCATGTCCATTTGCGCTACACACGCGACAGCGGCAGGGCCGATCTAGGGAGCAAGGAAGCTCTTGCGCGCCTGCCGCCATGCCGCAGAGCCGGCTTAAAAAATGCCCCTGCTTGCCTACACACATCACAATTAAGGAGGCAATTAAGGGTCATCCCTACTCCTACACCCTAGATTGCCCCTGCGGCAGGCATGTCAGTAGCCGCCTCTAGTCTCCGTCGATACCGAAATTCTGTTTGGAAGACATTTATAACTTTAAAGAAAGAATCAAACTCTAGTGATCTACTGTTAATAATTACATAAATGTACAGGATTATTTTGCAATAATCGGCCAAATTTGCAGAGAAGGTCCAGAATTAGCAATATAGGCAAATGCTGAAGAAAAATTAATTAAAAAAAATCTAAAATGTTATGTCCATGCATTACTGTGCATTATTTTAATTGATTTTACTGCGCACGCAGACGCAAAAACGTTGTTGCCCATAAATCACTATCAATTTGGGATAATTTCAAATAAAACTGCAATAACGATATATCTTTTTATATATATTTTAACTCTTTGAAAAATAACCCTGTATGTTTTATGTACGTAGTCATTTGATATATTTCATACATACTCGTAGAACTTTTAGTGTTTAGAGTTCGTATGTATCATAGAGTACAACATATTTAATTATTGTTGTTTTTGTCGCAATTTTTTTGTAGCTCATGTCCGCCATATTTGGGTTATGCTTATAACATAGTCTGTGACTCTGTGATACTCGCGCAATGAGTATCATCACTTTTCATCAGCGACTTTCTGCCACCAGCGATGCGCCTCTTACGAATGAGGTGTAATATTTCAAAGATTTGATGGCGGCGGAAGTAATATGCTAGAAATATGTAAAGGTTAATATTTCTTTCTGAAATATTAGTTATTAATTGGATTAGAAACGAATAAACGAAACTACAGTTATTTCTAAAAGTCAAAATAGTTGATGAGAGTTTGTGCATAAAAAATTGAAAGAGCAAACCATTGAGGCATTCTTTATGTACTCTAAACTATTATTTAAAACAAAACTATAATGACGTGTAAAAAAACTTAATCTCAGTCCCAACAAAAACCCCGACAAACATCCCTGCGTCTACGGGTGCCTCTATCGGTTCCATACAAGTAATGTCTACACAGACCCACTCATCAACCACGTCCAATTGCTGCAGATTGCGTGATACAATAGGTCCCATCTGGCAAGATCGTGATACTCGGTTATTTGAACGCCCACCACGCTGGATGGCTTATTTGCCGTTTAACCGATCGATGCCATTGAGGCATTCTTTATGTACTCTAAAAACAGATTGTCGACATTGTGTAAAAAACTTCATCTCAGTTCCAACTAGCGACATCTGGTGAGCGTAAGATTATTAGGCCTGATTATGACAAACCGATAGAGTTATTTTTTTCTAAATTTTTACAACATGTACACGGTCATACATAAATACTATTTCTGCTATAACTTTACAATTTTTGTTTTATTTTAGCGACATATGAAAATGTTATTCTAGTCTCCGGAGCTAAAAAAAAAAACTTAATATGTAGTTTGAGTTGAATTAAAGCAATATTATGTACAAATGTAAAACTGTACACTGTAAGTAGTCAAAACATTGTATGAATTGTTGAAATATATGAAAAATGTTTTGTTAATAAATCATTTTTGAACCAATTGTATTTTATTATAAAAATAATACTTTAACTTTCGTTGCTTAGAAAAGGTATATAACACGTTATGCTAATTTTTAGTATTTTTTTTATAGAACATAACTGACAAACGAGCACACAGTCCACCTGATGGTAAGTGGTTGTTGTGGCCCATAGACATCTACTTCTATTTTCGATTACGACTCAAATGCAAATGCGTTGTATGTTTTTCTCACCATCTGTATGCTTGGCGGTCCATGACTGTACGCTTTACTAGGAATTTTCCTCCTCGTACAACTTCTCTGCTGAGTTGTTAACCACCGGCGATTTTTCCGGACGGATACGACTTAGGGACCTTCAAGAAAACAGCTTACTCCTTTCTAAAAGGCCGGCAACGCACGTGCGTTCCGCTGGAGTTGCGGTTGTTCATTGGCAGCGGTAGTCACTTACCATCAGGTGAGCCGCATGCTGGTTTGCCCCCTATTTTATAAAAAAGCGTCAAATTTGCTTACGTTTGGTACTGAGATCTGAAGATCAGTCTGCCAAGCGTAAATATTAAGGCATATCCATTATTGTATATGTATTTTGTTACAATATTATACTAGGGTTTCTCAAAAGTGGGGCACACGAAACTAAGGCAGGGGTAGCGAACCTTTATGTATCAACGTGGCATTTTTCTAAAGAAACTCTAATGAGGTCATAGACGTGCCGTAAAATTTTGACTTCGTGATTTGTCCCGCGCACCGCGCCCGATCATTTCATAGCGATATATAGGATCACTCGGGTTCGTTTCAAATATAATAGTTCATAGTGAACTTTGTGGTCGGTAGCGTGCCCAAAAAGTTGTGTTGCGTGCCATTGGTTCGCCATCCCTGCCCTAAGGGTGCGTCCGTTGATCGTATGAAGTCCGCGACACTATTTATGTTTTGGCTGCTGGCTGGCTCACGCGTATTACACGCATGCTGATGCACGTCAGTTGTACTGCTATGCAATATGAAGCACATGACTAAACCACTGCGATTGCTTGCAACGGAACATAATTTCAAAGGTGCAGGGTCCCCGGGCGAAGGCGTTTCGCATACCGTTATCGTTGCAGCCGATGAAAGTCCACAGCGGAACATAGGCCTCCCCCATAGATTGCTTCATAGTTTTTGCCATAGTTGCAACGCTTGGTAAGCGGGTAGGCCACCGCAGTTTTGTATTTTTAGTCATTATTAGGAAGACGCTGCTGCCCATCTCCTGCTTTGTATCCCTCTGTCGCTTTTTACGACACCTATGGGATTATATGGGAGTAGTGGATATTCTTAAACCGCCACTACACTGTGTTTTTTTTTTACATATATTAATTATTGAAACCATCGCGCTTATTAAAATTATTTCTCTTTGTGGATGTATTTTCTTTTTAAATAAAAAATCCTTTTTGGTCTTTAGACAGTTTCTAGGGGTTCGCCTATGTTTTGGAAACTGATCTCCATGAGGGTTTCTAATAATTTTGTGTGTTCCTAATGTTGCACCAATTTATACTTCAAGTATTCCTTAAATGTGTATGTCCTACAAATAATTATTTCACGTCTGGATGTTTGTTTTTGTGCAATTTATGAATGTAAACTGCCTCCACGATACAGGAGTAAATCCTAGCGCGGGGCTTACGTTAGGCATGCCAGCTATTATTCTTCATAAATAAAAATAACAAATACATGAACAACATACAGCGTCAGTAGCTTAATGGCAGGGCGCGGACCGCGATCTTGAAAGGTCGTGGGTTCGAATCCGCCATTCAACTACTGTCGTGAACCACTTCTAACACAAGCATTTTAAGATTACCAGAAGTGGTTAAAGGGAATATTAGTAATGTTTATATGCATTACTAGTATTTTATTGAATAAAAAAAAATTGTAGTAAATATTTTTATTAGCCTTAAATTATTTGTGCGAGCGATTAGTTGACGAAGAATTCATTGGAGCGCTGGTTCTGATTATGACGCCATTTGCATGCCCAATTCCAGCACGACATTCCGGCCCACGGTTCATCGGTGTAGAACACTTGACCGTTTTGGTACATCTGCGAATTGCGAAATTATTTTTTTTTAATAAAAGAGGATGCAAAGTAAGTCGTATAAGCAGGATTTAACCTGCACCAACGACCGAAAAAATGAAATGTAATGTCGTTAGTTATAGACGTAAGAAGAAAATTAAAACAGCCAGTCCACTGCGGAATATGGCTTTACCTTTATAGGGAGGGTTCACCTTATCGTTACACTGCCTGTCGCTGGCTTGGGTGTTTTATGTCTGTCTTTTATGCCTTAAGATTTTTCTGTTTTTGTGTTTGTTTTTCCCATAATCGCCATCAACGACACCCAATGAAGGAAATTTGGTGATGGATTTCGCAACTATACATTAAATGGCTTTCGGGGTTGGTAAGTAGCGGTGACAAACGAGCACACAGTCCACCTGATGGTAAGTGGTTGCTGTGGCCCATAGACATCTACATCTATCCTCAACGTATCAAAATACAGATGCGTTGTTACCCGTGAGTACTAAGATGAAATGCCTCGGTTTCCAGTAAAAAGGGTTACCGATTCTCTAAACTCACCATACGAAACACAGCAGCGGTTAGGCTTCAATTTTACGCTGGTATTCTGTGAGAGCATGGTCCTTCCCCGGTAATGATTATGATGACGTGAATACTTACGAAAGACAGATCCGAACTCTTGTATGTGACGCCGTCGTAGCCGAAACGCAGGACGAAATTCATGGAGAATATAGAGAAGATGCAACGTATGTCAGTTGTGGCTGGCAAGAAATACCGGTACGGGCCGCACCAGTACGAAACCTTCGGTTCGTATTCCACCGATTCCGGGAACTCTTCTCGTGGGTTTATTCTGTGCGAGTTCACAAAGTGGATATACTAGGCTTTAATAATGTTGTAACAGCTGTAAACTCGAACGCCAGCTATTTAGAATTAACAATACAATCTGGTAGGAAAATAAAGATTTTCATCCCTTCATCCATATTATGTCGCCCAAATTGATCTTTTTCCAAATTTAAATGATTTAGTCACCTTTGAGATATGGTCTCTTTAACAAAAAAAAATTAAGTAAGTTCAATCGTTTCCGATTTTTCGAAATTCGGTGAGCATACATAGGTACATGAACATACGCTCCGAATATAGAATCTCCTCCTTTAAATTACTAACACTAGCAATGAAAGTTCTGAAAATTTTGATAATCTTCATGTTCTCTCTAGGAAAAATTTACAGATCACTGCAATAAATGTCTAATCTAACATCCATGTTCCATAATAGCAGCTATTTAGTTTTTTTTATAGGATCGGGTGACAAACGAGCACTCAGTCCACCTGATGGTAAGTGGTTGCTGTGACCCATAGACATCTACATCTATCCTCAATAAAGTATCAAAATACAGATGCGTTGTCACCCATGAGGACTAAGATGGAATGCCTCTTTTCCAGTAAGAAAGGTCTCCGGTTCTCTACACTCACCATACGAAACACAGCATCATTAAGCTGCTATTTGACGATGATATTCTATGAGAGCGTGGTCCTTCCCCGGTCGAGCCGAACCATTCGTGCTACAACTATACTACTAATATAGCTGCAGCATGGCTCTACCACGTGCGAAAATCATTATGGTCATCATTACAACCCTTCACAAGTCCACTGCTGAACATAGAACGGCCCCAAAAAATGCCACAAAGCACGGTCCTGAGATACCTGCATTATTGACTTCCTGCATATCGTCACTCCATCCAGTGAGGGGCTGCTCTACAGTTCTGAACGAGGCTGCTACTCGGAAACCTTTCTTCCCCATTGCTTATCGGTTGTCCGACCTATATTGCCGGCACACTTCAGCTTATTAATCCGTTACATGTTTTTATTTTCTTAGTTATGGATATTATTAGATACTAGTTTTGTCTCGCAGTTTCACCCACGTATATCACGCCATCGCCGCAGGACAGGAACATAGTGCCCGAATGTATGCGCAAGCACAGTGCACTCTCTATTGCCTCACTCTCATAGTCCGATGCGACGGTTATCCGACACGAGCAGAGAGGAATCAGGCGCAGGACCAACAGCTTTACGTGCTTACCGACACCGCCAACTTCCTGACTCCGGACAGCTACTGAGAATTTCTTGATGGAAAAGCTCAATAACTGATTTTTTTTTGTCCCGACCCGGTATTCGAACCCGGGACCTCATGATGGACAGTCGCGCTGCTACAACCACTAGACCAATCAGGCAGTTAAATTTAAGGCTAACTGATAGGTGTAGCCTAATGCTAGATAGGCTAGCCTAATCCTATTTCTCGTAAATCTGGCTATAATAATATACAAAAAGAATTTTTCAAATCGGACCGGTAGTTTCAGAGATTAGCGCGTTTAAACAAACAAAAAAAAAGATACCAATTTATTATTGTAAGTAGTATAAAGATTTTATGAAAATCTAGACGGAATCAAGAAATCTGAAAAAAAGAGTTGTTTTGATATTTATGTTTATGTCATTGGTTCAGACAAAGTAATCTATACAAATAAATAAAATTGAAGTGTCTGTTTGTAATGTCAAAATTACTGTTTTTTACTAAATGCATATGAAAGTAAATACGGTACCTATAACTAAAATACAATTTTTAAAATTTTTGTCTGTCTGTCTGTCTGTTTGTTCCGGGTAATCTCCGAAACGGCTGGACCGATTTTGACGGGACTTTCACTGGCAGATAGCTGATTTCATAAGGAGTAACTTAGGCTTCTTTTATTTTAGAAAAAGAATTAGGGTTCCGCGCAAAAACATAAAAACCCTAACACGCGAACGAAGTCGCGGGGACCAGCTAGTATTAAATACAATTGTAGTAGAGATGTGCCAACTCGGAAGAAATTCGACTCTAGTTAACTTGTGTTGAAATTCACGTAATCGAACAGTACTCGAGTTACGCAACTCGAATTGGCGGAACGAAGCTGTGTCAGTTTGTTTTAAATTATTTTTATATTTGTTCTTCCATCCAAGATAATTATTATTATTTCTTAACTTAAGGGTGCGTTTGCAAATCGGGCCAAATTATGCTGTTTTTCGGTACATTTTGTGACAAAACTAAACGAAATCAAATATAACTAATAACTACAACGTATAGAATGGTTCTTTATCTTCAAATGGTGGTAACTATTCATTATTTTTATGACATATGGCTTTATTAGTTAAATATCTATAAGGGTACATAATCAATCCATAGACTAAGTCTACTTCCAATAAAAAATAATATTGTCCATAGCTGGTGTCCTATGAATACAGAAATAAATACATAATCTATACTACACTGACGTTATTCCAATAAACAAGTTTACAGTTAGAGATAACTTAAAAAAAAACCCCGAAAAAAAAGAGCTGATGATCTTCAAACGGCTGAACAGATTTTACTGAAACATAGCTAAGAACACTCTCGATTAAGACACCTTTCAAACGAAAACAACTTTATAAAAATCGGTTCATCCGTTCAGGAGCTGTGATGCTACAGACAGACAGATACACACTACAAACTTATAAGATCCCTCTAGTTTACTTCGGGGATTAATAAACATACTTGTAAATGCATTGTGCGTCGCTCCAGTTGTCGTCGGAGTGGCAGTAGAGACCTTGGCTGGGATCTTTCGCCTGGAACTGTTCGGCGTGCGGGCCAACGTACGTGGTCTCCGAATGGCGGTGGTAGAAACCAGAGAACGCAAACGCACCTGATAATACGCAAATTATTATTAAAGAACTATTAAAAAATAACCTCATCGAAATGATCTATTTATTCTATTGGAACGAAGTTCTTTCGCGGGTGGGCGTTAGGCGACAAAAAGTGTAAGATTTTTTCGTCACGACCCCTTGTGTCATAGTGTAAACGGCCTTGGCGGCGAAATAAAGAAGTGAGATGGAATAATATTCATCTCCCTCGCACTTTTTCTTATCTTGCAATGAAAGAAATATTATTTGATTTCAAATGACGCTTCATTTTAATAGACGCTAGTTCTAATTATTCAATGATAATAATGATTTACGCGAACAACACAGATAGCCGTGGTAGCTCAGACGTTTGGCGCTGGCTGTAAGTTTCACAGTACGCTAGCAACCCGGGATCGATCCTCGCCGGCACCAATGAAATTGTCAATTGCAATCGTAAGTGCTGATTTACCACGTGCTCAGCGGTGAAGGAAATCCTGAGGAAACCTGCATATCTGAGAAATAAAAAAAATATTTCGAAGACATTTGAAGTTTGCCAACACGCATTAAGGGTAACGCGGCGGACATTTCCTTGCGCTATAACCTTCTCAAAAATGAGAGGACGCCTGTGCCCGGCAGCGGGACGTATATAGGATGTAACTTTTTTACACATTGAATAAAAATAGTTTTACGGATTTAATTTTGAGAAGCGACAGTAGCCTAATGGCAGGGTGCGGACCGCGAACTCAAAAGTCGTGGGTTCGAATCTACCATTCCACTACTGTCGTAACACTCCTAACACAAGCATTTTCAGCTAACCAGGAATGGTTAAAGGGAATATTAGTAATGTTAATAGCATTGCTTGTATTTAAAAAAATATTTTTGCTTATTATTAACTTACTATCATCTTGTCTTAGCACCGAATTCAGGACTCCCACCATATGAGTAGTCCAAGGAATATCACAAGTACAAGCCAACAACTAGAATGTACATATAATATTTCAAGGTGAAGGCTCGCGTTCGATCCCCGTCAGCCACAATAAAGTTTTTAACTGCAATTTTAAGTATTGATTTACCACGTGCCTGCGATGAAGGAGAATATCGTACGGACGTATCATGTGAAGTCGACCAACACGCATTGAGGCTGCGTGAATGACACGTCCTTGCCCTAAAACACTCTGAGATATAAGTTGGGCCCAGAAGTGGAACGTATACAGGCTGTAATTTTATTCAAATTTTCATAATTTTTTTATAGTATCTGGTATCTAGCGAAAGGAAAGTTGGAAGACCTGAAAAACGGTGGGCTGATGACTTAATACAATATGCAGGAAAATATAGCATATGTAAAAGTAAAAAAAGAAAATTGTGAAAGCAAATGGAGGAGGTCTTTATATATTTCTGAATGTATACACAGTTAACCGTATAAACAATAACTAATATAAACTAAGCTAATAATATTATGTACTAAACAACATCGGAACATAAAAATGTAGAAATGTAGGGATAAGAAATAAAGATGCTTTAATATTAATATGGGTTATTTATATAGTTTTCTAATTTGGTTGGGCTGTATAAATATATAAATATAAATATAATTGTAAACGAGATATATAAATAGACATAAATATCAATAAAATAAAATATTTATAATATAAAATACATAAATAAATAAAAACCCAACCAGATGGTAGCCCTCCGCTGAGAGACCAAACTGCAGATGGTTAGAAGGAAAGGGAAATAAACCGGCGGACGATGCGTGCGGTATCGAGGAGCACCGCCTTCTGCATTTGAGCTTGGAGCGGTCCGTCACGGAGTCCCAGTCGCCTCAGATGACCTGAGACGCTGACCGGGATTAGCCCGTTCGCAGAAACGACCATAATGCTGCTCGTCAAAATTTAAACGAATCCATGCAAAATATTATCGTCGTCGCCAATTCTTGGTAATGTTATTTCTTCCGATTGGCTTACTACTTTATCTAGGATTTCCGTGGCTATTACTTAAGATATTGTCAGTGGTCGATCTAGCGATGATTCTTTAGAAACAATTCAGGGATCCACAAAGAGAAGATTTATTCGATTTTGTACCATCGAGACATTGACATAATTCGTCAATAAACGACATAATTTTATGAGTTGCGGCGCTGAGGCCGCGGGTTCGAAACCCGTATGAAATATGTATGTCCTGCAAACAGCTGTTACGGGTCTGGATGTTAGTCCTTGCTTAATTTACGCTAATAAACTGCCTCCGCGTTACATGGCAAAATCCTAGTGTGGGGTTAACATTTATGTAATATAAAATATACTAGTTTCGCTGACTATATATCACACAGAGAGTTGCCAACTCTACTATGTGATATTTGTCTATATCACATAGTAGAGTTGGCAACTCTACAGCACACCAATGTCGTTGTAACCCTAATCTGCGTGCAATTAATCCTTATCATCATCATCATTACAGACTTTCATAAATCCACTGCTGAACATTGGCCTCCCCCAAGGAATGCCACAAAGTACAGTCCTGAGCCACCTGCATCCATCGTTTTCCTGTATATCTTAGCAAGTCGTCACTCCATCTAGCAATTAATCAAGTAAGATTTTTTTATTCCGGTCGACTTCGGTAGCGCAGTGGATAAGAGCGCGTACAAAGCGCCCGTCTCAACGGAATGATTCTAGCTAATTGCCAATCACCATTAAGCGTTCAGTGATTGATGACATAGAGCAACACATTTTCACTTGGTAGAGCCACGCCGCAGTTTAATTATGGTTGTAGCACGAGTGGGTCGGCTCGACCGGGGAAAGACCACGCTCTCACAGAATACCAGCGTAAAATAGCAGCTTAACGCTGCTATGTTTCATATGGTGATTGTAGAGAACCGGAGACCCTCTTTACTGGAAACGAGGCATTCCATTTAAGTCCTCACGGGTGTCATCTGTATTTTGATTCTCAATCGAAGATAGATGTAGATGTTTATGGGCCACAGCAACCACTTACCATCAGGTGGACTGTGTGCTCGTTTGTCACCCTTATCCTATATAAAAAAAAAACCCGGCGGTGAAATGTTACAAGAAAACGTGATTTTGTTCCGTTATTGACAAAATTAACAAATTTTTGTGTTCATATGATATGACGATGGCTGCTTAAAGCTATTGTTGCCAATAAACTTTAACTGATAGTTATTAATGGTCATATTTAATAAATAATATTTAGTTTTAGTTTAAAATACCTACCTTATTAAAATACCTACCAAAAATATAATAATACCTAAAATACCTAATTAATATCTTAGACACGGTTTAGATTGTTTACATACTTGAGATTACTATAAATTAAATGTAGAATAGTACGACCCAAATAAAATATATTTTCACCTCTAAACGTATAACAATGCGGCTTCCTTTCGCTTGAAAGTATCATTTGCGCATCCTCTTGATTGTGAGCCGAAGCGATGTAGTAAGATGTTCCCAGGCATTTGAACTCTGAAACCAATACATTATTAAAGTAAAAAAAAAAGAAAAACCAAACAGACTTTAAAAATAAAAAATTACATGCGTGGAACACTCGGTTGGAACAAAGTTCCTTTCGTAGTATTTTTGTTATGGCAAGATAAGAAAAAGTGCAAAGGAGATGGATATTATTCCATCTCGCTCGCACTATAGAAAGGGAGGTCGTGACGGAAATATCTTATGGCTCCAGTACACGTTGGCCGAGCGCGCTTGGCGAGCGCACTCGGCAGATTTTCGTGGTGCCGTTCACACGTTGGCGTGTTTCATTCTGCGTTGGTAGCTAGATGATGATGGACGTTAGGGCAATCGCGGCCGCTGTCATATACTTATACAGCGCTTCACTCTTCTCAGAGTGAACGAAAAAAAAACTACACATACGACAATAAACCCAGTTTGTCCTTTTTAGGGTTCCGACCTCAAAAGGAAAAAAGAAACCTTTATAGGATCTACTAGCTGACCCGTGCCCGCTTCGCTGGGGGTTTTTTCAAAATAAAAGATAGCCCAAAAGAAGCCCCTAAGCTACATTATCCCTGAACAACAATTTATAATAATATTTATCATTAGGTAGGTATTCTGAAATCGCAACTAAACATGTATTATTTAATGCAGTTAGGCAAGTTACTCTGGTTTTATTTTTTTATGTTGCTCATGTTTGGGGTTCCATATAACTGATTCATTGTGAGGATCAATCAATGAACAATGAATCAATATTTCACTCCATAATTATTAAATTGTAATGTGTTGGTATGCATATAAGTAACATTAAAAATATATTATATTGAATTATATATATACATGCGTATATATATATGTGTGTGTGTATGTATATGTATATATTTGTATTGTATATGTATATTTATGTAAGTGCACACTTTGACTACCTCTATTTCCTTCAACTATCTTTCAATAGGCCTGCTGGAAGAAATTTCATCATGGAATAGGCAGTGCCTTTGTACATAATTATGTTTTTATCATTTTCCTATCGAATTATGTGTGTACATAAACTTTTAAATAAATAAATAAATATTTCCTCATTAGTCCATGTCGCCATGTTGAAACAATTTTACTAAGCCGACACTACAGTCTACTCCGACGCGTAACTATGAACTGAACACTCTGCCAACGTGTGAACACTGTTTGCGGCTTGCCCCAAATTCCTTTGATTTGTGCATGGAAAACCGACACTATACGGCTCGTCGGCGAGCGTTGGCCGCAAACGCCAAATATATACAAAACGGCCCAGTACACGTTGGCCGAGTGCACTCGGCGAGCGCGCTCGGCCAACGTGTACTGGAGCCATTACACTTTTTCTCGCCTAGTCCCCATCCGTCAAATTCGTACAGTGCGATAAGGAAGTTTGTTCCAAAAAAAGAAAAATCAAACAGACTTTAAAAATAAAATAAATCCACATTATAGCTTTTAAAGTCAGTGCTCAGTGATAAGGCATAATGAATTTAAGAATTAAAGCCTCGAATTCATATGGAACCACACCAAAAGTACGATTTAATGATTCTTGTTATATTAAATAACAATAGCCGTTTACATCAGTTTACATACGTTTACAGACGTTTGCGAGAAATCGAGTGGTATATTCAAAATGTAAAAAAAAAATACGAGTTGAATATCGTAACTTTTCGTTTTTGGAACTTGATTAAAAAATGACATGTATATAATCAAAGACCACTAATTAAGTAATATATATCAGACTATTATGATATATATATTGATCTGACGCGTGACTGGACTTTACTTCTGAAAAACGTTTGTCTTAAAATATATACAATAGGCAAAATAAGTAAATGAACACATACACATATTATATTGATTCGATAAAATATATTACATAACATATATATAAATTAAATTATTCATTTCTTGAATAGTAACGTTATTATACGTGGTAGAGCGATGCTGCAGCTATATTAGTAGTATAGTTGTAGCACAAATGGGTCGGCTCGACCGGGGGCGTACGGGGGCAGCTTGACACTGCTGTGCTTAGTACGGTGAGTGTATAGAACCGGAGACCCATTTTACTCGAAAAGAGGCATTCCATCTTAGTCCTCACGGGTGACGACGTATCTGCATTTTGATTCTTTATTGAGGATAAATGTCTATGGGTCACAGCAACCACTTATCATCAGGTGGACCGTGTGCTCGTTTGTCACACTATCCTATATAAAAAAAGTTATACTGTTTAAAACTTCACAAATTGACGTTTGCAATAGTATTAGCAGCACATGTATGCTAAATACCATAGTCAAATTTTAGAAACAGAATAACAATGTGACCAACATTGTTATGCTAGCTCCACCATGTTTTCCACATATTTACAGAGAGAGAGAGAGGGGGGGGGAGAGAGAGTGACGAAAGAGAGAGGTACGAGTTTGTTGCGCAGAGGAAAACCATAAAGGCTTCACTTTTTGTTAACGCTTGATTTTTCATACCGTGCGTTACATTTGACACAATTCTTAAGGAGTAAACTGCAATAAACTTCAAAAAAATATTTTTATGCAGTTGCGCTCGGTGGCAGTACTGCTCTAAGATCTTAATAGCATGAAAAATGTACTCAATGTGTTACATTTTTTTTTATAGAAGAGGGGGCAACTGAGCATGCGGCTCACCTGATGGTAAGTGACTACCGCCGCTCATGAACAACCGCAACACCAGGGGAATTGCAGATGCGTTGCCGGCCTTTTAGAAAGGTGTAAGCTCTTTTCTTGAAGGTTCCTAAGTCGTATCGGTCCGGAAAATTCGCTGGTGGTAATTGGTTCCACAAGGAAGTTGTGCGAGGATGCATGCATTTGTTAAAAAAAGAGGAAAGAATCAAAGGAGGGAACACATTTATTGGTGGTTGAGTACTGGCGTAGGCCAATAACTATCTAATCCAATTACGTCTTACCTGGACTCGCGTACAGCCCAAACGGTATCTTAGCTTGAGTGGACTTGATCTTGGCTTCAGACGTGTCCATTTTCTTGTTCAATTTCAGCAATACCATGGACATCAACGCCATGTCGGTCTCGAAGAGGAGACGTTTAAGATCCTTTATATGAGTGTCGATGAATGAGAATAGTTTTTTTTGGGCCGTCTCTAGAATTTCACGACGTTCCGCCTGTTGAGAGGTAATGTGATTATGTTTTTTTTTTTTATAGAAGAGGAGGCAAGTTCAGCCATGAACAGACAACAATGGAGGAATCAAAGGTGCGTTTTGTTTAAGGTCTCTACCATGAATTGACCCAGAAAAATCGCTAGTTGCGGCAGATTCCGCAAAGTAGTGCGAGGCAGAAATCTTCTGGAAAATTGTGATGAACCGCCAAACATCCATATAGTATAAATGTAATTATGTTTTTTATTGGAACGCCATGGTTAAAATTTAACAGCTAGAATTAATCCGAACAATTCCTGAGTTAAATCCAGCCTCAGATACCCGGGCGCTCGAGGCGAAAACACTTGTGCTCCCCTCCTTTTTGCTTTATAAGCCAGATAACCACATAAGTAGTGATAATATAATGCTCGTGGGTCTAAAAAAAGTTCCGTAGCGTTTCATGTTACTTTTCACAAGGACAAATGTTTCTTTCCGTAATAGTTTTAAAAGTAAAAAGTTAATTTCAATAAGTATTATTTGTTATCTATATTGATTAAAAGGTTGTTCTATTCCTTTCTATTATATTCTCAGGTTTAGGTGGTCGAAGCCTACGAGCGCGAGTGGTATGAGTATGTATGGTCAAGACGAAATGACGAGATTCTGGAGAGAGACATGGGTCAATCCCAATGTGGTGAGATTCGCCTCAGTTTTTACGCTTGGCAGCCGAATTGATTATCACAATAACAAATGTTTGACGCTACTACCTATCGTATTTAACCTATCGTAAAAGTCGCCATTTATAAATACTTTCGTCTTTACCATAGTTGCTCCTTATGGTAGCTTCAAGACGAAATGAGTCTCTTATTCCGCATTCATGGGTTTTATTTGCAAATACAAAAATAATACCGGATTATGAGGCTCCTTTATCCGTCCATTCATATAACTGTAGTACTCCTGAAGCTTCTCAAACTTCTCATCTGCATAACTGTGGCGGGGATCGATCTCTTTTGTACTTGGCATATTGTACGGCTTCTGCGCATGGTAATTTAAAAATAAATAATTTTAAACAGCATTGTTTTTATAGAATAAGATTGAAAAACGAGCACACAGTCCACCTGATGGTAAGTGGTTGCTGTGGCACATAGACATCTATCATCTTCGATTACAAATCAAAATGCAGATGCGTTATCGCCCGTGAGGACTAACTAAGATAGAATGCATCTTTTCCAGTAAAAAAGGGTCTCCGGTTCTCTACACTCACCATGCGAAACACAGCAGCATTAAGCTGCTATTTTACGTCGGTATTTTGTGAGAGCGTGGTCCTTCCCCGGTCGAGCCGACCCATTCGTGCTACAATTGTTCTACTAGTATAGCTGCAGCATGGCTCTACCACGTAAAGATGCTTTACTTCTACTAAGCCACGTTACAACCGTATCATGGCTGCAACTCAAATAAGATGGCTCAACCGGTGAAGAATAAGCACTCTCAGGATACCAGCGTGAAAAAAATACGTGTAGCCCGTGATATCTAAGAACCGAGACGTGGTCCTTAAAGCTGTAGATATAGCTACCTGTATAAGGAAAATCAAAGACTTTTAGCAAGCTATGGGACGGTTACGCGTAGAACAAATCGTGCTAAAATCCATAACGAAGATATACGCAACAGAAGTAAAGCAATTGGCATAGCTCAACAGTTCAGCACGCTAAATTGTCAATGAGATGACCATATGGCGAGTGACCACGCTTTTCCGATATTACTGGACTGTTCGAAGAAATTAAAAAAAAGTTCATGTCGATTGGTCGCTTGGACCAACCGCTGGAGCAATGTAGTTTTAACTGAAACCATTGTACAAGTATTTAATTCACCACAGTACGTGTCGCTTATATATATAGGGTAAGCAGTATAATGATTGGCACTTTAAGCGGATTTCTACTTGTAAGTTGTTAATTCTCGTAAATAAACAAATTTGTTATATTTCTTATTGTTTTGTTGGATTTTAGTTTAGATAGCCATAAATAAAATAACACATTACGTTTAAAAAGAAATGTTTAATTAAGTTAAAAATATAATTAAACTTTTTTCTAGGGAAAGTTACAATCTTTGGCACTTTAGCATAGTGAATGGCACTGTAAATTAAGTATAATCATTGGCACTATTGGAAGTCTTAAAAAGTTATACCCAGATCTTTCTAAGCTCCATCTTATTGTTATTACACTTATTTTGAACAAATCTTCTTCAAAAAATTTCCTTAGATCTTCATCTGAAAGCGGTTTCGTTTGTCTACCATGTTTTTTTCTTTCTTCGTATACATTTTTTAAGTTAAGTTTTTTAGTAAAACCTTTCGTATTTTCTCGATATTTTGTAGAAATAGAACTTTATTTCGGTATTTTAGATTAAACATTTAGAGACTATTATAATGTCAGAGTTTCTGGCTTCGTTCTTCTTGTTTTGTTTGTCAGTTTGCTTCTATATTTGGCTGACTAATTCAATTCTGCATTTTCCATTTGTACCCCATTTTTCCATTATTTTTTTAGCTCCGATGCTTCCGAATCTTCACTTGTTAGCACAAAATAACAGCGTTGTTTACCTGCTTTTTGCTTTTTGATACGTATTTGGCAATGGAAAAAGCTCTATAAATATTTTTAGGGCTTTCTAAAAGATTTTAGTTTATTTTGACATCCACAATCACCCATTCACCTCCAACAAATTCTAAATCTGCTGCCTAGTTGATGAAAAACATTAGGGTTAGTTTTCTTTCTGATACTCAGCAATAATATCTGCAGGTTGTATACGCTCTGGTACTTATAAACCATTATTAAGTGAAAGGATACAAGGCAAATTTGATACAGGTATTTCTGATTCAGTCGTTATTAGTCGTTATTCTTAAAATATTAGGTAATTCGGCGTAATGGCAAGGAACGGTGATCATCTAAAATGGCTTGCTGTGATTTCGAGGGCACCGGACACTTTGTTTAATCCACTTTGTCTGCACTAAATGGGCACAACCCACATGTCTCAAAACCATTTCATAATGTAGATTTATTTCAATACGGTAAAAGTCTTGCTAATACAGGCCCGCATCTCTTTTAGTAACCTTTTTGTCAAATTGTTTGTCCGTCTTTCGAAGACAGGTTTACGACACATATCTTTGGTGGGCCGAAATGCAGTGATATTAGCTGATTGCGCTAGTCGCGTTGCATTAGGTTTAGGGCTATAAGTATTATGGCGAGACTTGGGCAAAGTTGCGCCGTATTTAAGATAGTTAATAACCCTCTCTCTAGGCACTAACTTTTGAACGTCTGATCACATTTTCTATAGGGGGAAAATAATAGGTTTTACCGTCTACTCCAAAGAACAGTGATGCAATTGATTTCGATTAGGCATGATCCACCTCATAGACGTTTTATTCTCCCTCTATAAAACGGTTTAGTATGTATGGGGTATTTATTCGAAAACCTCACATCATTGACGTCTTTATGACATCGAAAACTGTGCCAGTACCAGCTCGGCTTGTCAGCTTGTTAGTTTTTTTTACTTTACTTATTTAGTGGGAACTGTAAATTCGCGCGTGGAATGTTAAATGTTAGTGCGGCAGGTATTTTTCTAAAGCGCCCTCTCTTAAAAGCAGTATTCTTCATCAATTCAAAATATGAAAAAGTTCAGTCATAATCATTGGCACTACTCAAAGGATATAGTCATTGGCAGTGTCAAGAATATGATTGACATATATGCCAATGATTACGAGTATGTAGTCAAACAAAGTAAAATATAGTCATTGGCACAATTACAAAAACCGATGCTTCTATTTCACAACGATAAAATAACGTTTAATATGCTTTAATGACGTTAATTGATTAAAATAGACAGAAAATTGCATATAAACTTACCTAAAAATCACATTTTTGTCTTAAAATCTAGCCACATAACCTTAACTTTTTGTTAAATTTTAACGGATTTGTCCGCACACATTTTTAAAACAGCCCTTATAGTAAAATAGTTGACGCTTTAAATATAAATGTGTATTGTTGGTATAAGTAATTATATATATTAGCAATATCTGTGCAGCTGTGATATAGAAAAAGGAAAACATTCTTAATATTCAGATTAAAGTAGCAAAGTGCCAATCATTGTAGGAGTGCCAACATTAGTACTGTTTACTCTATATATTATAGGATAGGGTGACAAACGAGCACACAGTCAACCTCATCACGTTATACCACTTACCATCGTAAGTGGTTGCTGTGGCCCATAGACATCTACATCTATCTTCGTTTGCGAATCAAAATGCATATGCGTTGTCACCCGTGAGGACTAAGATGGAATGCCTCTTTTCCAGTAAAAAGGGTCTCATTTTCTCTACACTCACCATACGAAACACAGCAGTGTTAAGTTGCTATTTTACGCTGGTATTCTGTGAGAGGGTGGTCCTCCTCCGGTCGAGCCGACCCATTCGTGCTACAACTATACTACTAATATAGCTGCAGCATGGCTCTACCACGTAAAATTACAAGTTACGAAGTTTACATTAATGGATTTAACGTATGAACTGGATTAAACGTATCTCGCCTAACTAGATCTCACTAGGATTATTATAAAATTGATGGCAGTTTGATGAAAATGAAGGTATGAAAATAAACTAGCGCAAAAGTACTGTATCAGCTGGTACAATTAAAAAATAAATTGCAATACCAACCTAGTATTCCATCATTCCATCTTAGCTTAATAGCAATCGTGAAGCGAATCTGTTACCTTCTTTGTTTAAGGTTGGTTGCATATATCCAAGGGCTGCAGTAGCCAATTACCATCAGTTGAACCGCTACTTCACTTGTCAATTCATTTTTATAAATAAGTAATTATAAATTTATTTAAAACTGGCTCTTCTCCGCGACTTCGCCCGCGTGTAATTTAGGGTTTTAAGTAACCTAAGTTACTCCTTATATATACATCAGCTATCTGCCAGTGAAAGTCCCGTCGAAATTGGTCCAGCCGTTTCGGAGATTAGCCGGAACAAGCAGACAGACAGACAGACAGAGGGAGAGAGAGAGAGAGAGAGAGAGAGAGAGAGAGAGAATTTTTTTTTAAATATGTGTTTTTCTTATAAGTATCGCATATACTTTCATATGCATTTAGTAAAAAGCTGTTACTTTAACATTATAAACAGACACTTCAATTTTATTTATTTGTATAGGTAAGTCTGTTCGACTGCAAAGTTTCAGAGTTTGAGAGATCTCACTTTTGATATGGAGTTCCTAAAAGCTTGAAATACATCTAAACTTAATAATTTTTTTGACTTTGACATCATCATCATTACAGCTCTTCATCTTCAAGTCCACTGCTGAACATAGGCCTCCCCCAAGGAATGCCACAAAGCATGGACCTGAGCCACCTGCATCCATGGACTTCCTGCATGTCTTACCAGGTCGTCACTCCATCTAGTGGGGGGATCCATCGATCGGATTGGCCTCCTACACATGTAGAGATATCCTGGTAATACATGCAAAAGTCGATGGATTCGGGTGACTTAGACTTGCTAATCTGTTTTTTTAAATACTAGTAATGCTATTAAACATTACTAATATTCCCTTATACCACTTCTGGTAAGCTTAAAATGCTTGTGTTAGTAGTGGTTCACGACAGTAATCGAATGGCGGATTCGAACCCACGACCTTTCGAATTCACGGTCCGCGCCCTGTCATTAAGCTACTGACGCTTTCAAAATCTAAAGATCGTATCGCGACAGTGTTTCAGGACACGATTGAGTACGAGTTTCGAGTGGTTTCGTTGCGAGCCTTACAACAGTCGTCATTGGATTTTCCGTCAAGTAATTCTTAGTACCAGCCCGTAGTCAAGGAGTTAACAGTGTTTTATGCATTAGAAAGCACGTCAAGCAGTTGGACCTACGCTTGATCTTGATCGTTGCCGTTACATCATATTATGAGATTGAGGGAATAGAGAGCCCACCTGTATGTATTACACTCATGCACTTTATAGTGATTATTCACGGCCTGTGCAAATTGCGTGCAAATGGAGAATACTTCGTTGAGACTTGAAAATCGGTCACGACGACTTACTGCTACTGTCTTATTATACCGGATATACTCACAGTTTCAACTGTTGGAAACGATAATCTTGCGAGCTGAAAAAAAACAAACGTCTTTAATAAATAATATCAAAAGAAAAGAAGTTAGTTTATTATCTTAGACAATTTGAGTGATGTCCATATGTTTAACACGCGTAATAAATCCAAACTTGCTGTATTAATGTACAGCTGGATGCATTTCCTAATATGGAAGCTTATCTGTAGAATAGAATAGAATAGAATAGAATGATTTTTATTCAATATGGATTATTACATAATACTTATTGAAAGTCATTATTTTATTTACCACTGGTTCGGAAAATACCTCTGTCCTGGGAAGAACCAGCAAGAAACCCAGCGGGACTTTTTTTTAAACATAATTTCACTTAACAATAATTTTGTTTATACAATTTTAAATGAATTTTCATAGAACCAGCATGGTGGCGATCACCTTATTCCCAGGGGTTATTTTCATTCATGTATTCCTTGATATTATAATAACCCTTTCTGTACAGTTTTTCTTTAATAAAACTTTTAAACTTGTTCATTGACAAACTTTGAACTTGTTCTGGGATTTTGTTGTAAAAGCGTATACATTGCCCCATAAATGAATTACTAATTCTGTGGAGTCTAGTAACTGGCATTACAAGCTTATGTTTGTTCCTAGTGTTTAAGGTATGAACATCCTTATTCTTATTAAAGCTATTTATGTTTTTATGTACATACATTCATCATCATTCATCATTACAGCCCTTCACAAGTCCACTGCTGAACATAGGCCTCCCCAAAAGAATGCCACAAAGCACGGTCCTGAGCCACCTGCATCCATCGACTTCCTGCATGTCTTACCAGGTCGTCACTCCATCTCGTGGGGGGACGCCCTACACTTCGCCTACCGGTACGAGGCTGCCACTCGAGAACCTTTCTTCCCCATCGGTTGTCGGTTCTTCGAGCTATATGGCCGGCCCACTGCCACTTCAGCTTACTAATCCGTTGGGCTATGTCGGTTACTCTGGTTCTACTGTACATACATTACATTTTCATAAATATATTGCGATGCCAAAGTTAATATGTTTATTTCTTTAAATTTTTCTCTGAGGGACTCTTTACAATTTAGATTATAAATCGCCCGTACTGTTGAAGATTAATGAGTTGGCGCTGCTCTGGCAGATGACTTTCTCGCAATAATTATCCTGAGTGCAAGGACATAGTATAAAAGATTGTCCGATAAGATTTTATGTGGAACAAGGCATTGTTGAATGCGGTTGGAATATCGGTGAATGTTAATAGTGATATTTGTTGTGTGGGCTATATAACATAATAAAAATATGTTACATAATGATTTCTTATATTTACGCGAACATTACACATTGAATAAAACTACTTTTACGGATTCGGATATCGCGTTTAATTAACTTATTTTGCTTATTTTTATTAAAAGTTTTGGCCAAAGGTATGAATTTCGACATAGACTTATTAAAACAACTAAATGTATAAGAAAACGAAAGGGTTAGATAGTTAAGTATTGAGATTTAAAAGCTGGGCTAGTGGCCAAGGGCTATACACAAAAATACGTAGTAAACTATTTTGAAACCTTCTCACAGGTGGTATGGTATTTTTTTTTTATAGAATAGGGGGCAAACGAGCTTGCGGCTCACCTGATGGTAAGTGACTACCGCCGCCCATGAACAACCGCAACACCAGGGGAATTGCAGATGCGTTGCCGGCCTTTTAGAAAGGTGTAAGCTCTTTTCTTGAAGGTTCCTAAGTCGTATCGGTTCGGAAAATTCGCTGGTGGTAATTGATTCCATTAATTATAATATGATAACATTAGAACTCTTCTTGCTCTGGTTGTTGAACATAGTACGAAAGTAGTTCACGTCGATGTCAAAACTGTGTTCCTAAATGGAGAATTTTATCAGAAACTATATTCATGGATCAACCCTAATTGATCCCCAAAAAAATTCCTAAACCACCTCCTAAACGTGGCGATCAAGACAAACCCTTCAAATCCATTTCATTAGACTGTAATAACAAATTATTTTGATGTTCTCCTTCAAACGTTATCAAAAGCACACCATAGTGACCAGGGGCGTAGCTAGCGCCGTATCAGCCGTATCAATGATACAGGGCCCCCGGGGTACAGGGGCCCTGAACATATGTAAGCAAAAATTCTAAGGACTTCTATGGGACAGGATGTTGGTTTGAATTGTTTGGCTAGCTTAGTTCCTAGGAGTATTAATTGTAAGTAATAACTTATAATCAATATACAATTACTTTAATTCAATGCGTGAGTTTTTGTTCCTTTTGTGAAAAATCTTTACCCTTCATTTGGGCCCCCCGACAAATTTTGATACAGGGCCCCTCTAAGGCACGCTACTCCACTGATAGTGACACAAAAATGTGCACAGAGGCAGTTGTCCTAATCTATTATACGCATTCAATATTTTTTTTAAGTTTTCGTGATGAGAAAAAACCAACTAAGGTTTAACGTCTCAATAAAGCGATCTATTCGTATGGTCTTAAACAGGCATCTAAAAGTTGGTTTGAGAAAATAAACATAGTATTGATTCATAAATTAGATTTTCAAATGATTTTGTCAGAACCATGTGTAATTACTACTTATGAAAAAACATATTCAAGGTGTGACCTCTGTTAGTTTGTATGGTGATATCATTTTGTTTTCTAATAATAGTGAAGGAAAATTGAAAAGCAAACAGAAACTGATGACATTGTTTCATATGAAAGAATTCAAGAAATCTTAGGGATGAAAGTGTGCAAAAAGAGTGCAGAATTTACACTGAATCAGTCGAGTTACAGCGTTTCAATATGTCAGATTGCAAGCTATTAGCCACTCTAATGGAATGTAGCCTAAAACTGGTGAAGGCTGAATTTATAAATCAAATATTTACAATTTAGAGAGTTAATTGGTTGCTTAACGTATATTGCAGCGTACACAAGGCATCTCTTATGCAGTAAATGTCCTTAGACAGTTCAATGAATGCTTTGATGAGTCCCATTATCGACCAATGCTACAGCTATAGTTTGTTGCACGAATGGGTCGGCTCTACCGGGGAAGGACCATGTTCTCACAGAATACCAGCGTAAAATAGGAGCTTGATGCTGCTGTGTTTTATATGGTGGGTGTAGAGAACCTGAGATCCTTTGTATCAGAAACGAGGCATTCTATCTTAGTCTTGTATTATGTTTAGTAGTATTGTGACAGGCCATAGCTTCCACTTACCAATCAAGTGGACTGTGTGCTCGTTTGTCATTCTTTTCTGGCTCGATCAAGCTTACATATTCGTGCTGTGTTTCATACTGTATTTTTATTTATTTATTTATTTAAAACTTCATATACACATGTGGTATATAGGCGGACTTAATGCCTAAGGCATTCTCTACCAGTCTACCTTGGGATGATGCAGAGATATAATGAAGTAGGAGTAATAAAAAGGTAATATGTTAATACTAAACTAAAATAACAAAAAAAAAATTGTAGCACATCGAAATAAAATACATAAGATATAAATGGTAATAAAAAATATAATATATATATATATACTTATAAAATAAATTATGATAAAAATAATAAGATAATAAAAATGTATATTACTTAAGTACATATTAAAACGTCAGATGTATGTAAACTCATGAAGATATACAATTATAGACATAATCAAATAAAATACATATATTTATATATAAAATATATATAAACTATTACTATGATGAATCTGCCAATTTATTAGTTAAGTATTCCCGAACCTTCATCTTGAACGCGTAACGATTGCTAGCCGTCCTGATTTCGAGAGGTAGTGCGTTCCAAAGGAGAATAGATTGAATGTGGAAAGAAGAATGAACAAGTCCAGAGCTATGGGAGGGACATAGGAGAAGAAGGTTGTTCGTAGAGCGGAGGTTTCTCTCATGACTAGCGCTAAGCAACTGAAAGTATGGAGATAAGTAGGAACAGGAAGTTGGAGACATCAGGATAGAATAAAGGGTAGTGAGTGCACGCAAACTACGGCGTTGACGAATAGGTAACCATTTTAATTGAGATCGATACGTGGATACATGGTCATACTTTCGAAGATTGAAAATGAATCGAATGCAGTTATTCAGAAGACGGTCATATTTATTGAGAAGATCTGCATTCAGGTCGAAATAACACACATCACCATAGTCGATTAGGGGAAAAATTAAGCTTTGCACAAGCATTGCTTTGGTTGCAGATGGCAGAAAATTTTTTAGGCGATAGAGAGAACGCAGGGTACCGGTAACTTTCTGGCTGACGGTCGTTGCTTGGTCTTTCCAACTCAAAGTAGAATCAATTAATAAACCTAGATCATTCACAGTAGAACACAGTTGGATCTCAGTACTATTAAAACTGTGAAATGTTTCGTAAGAATTTCGTAGGGACAAAAGAATCGCTAAATAAAGGAACTTGGCATAAAAGAAACACTCTTCCCGAAATTCAACGGCTCTGTGGCCCAGTGGCTTAGCAATGAGTTGCAGCTCTAAGGGCCGCGGGTTAGAAGCCCGCACTGTAAAAGTATTTATTTTGTATGAGCTACAAATAATTGTTTCGGGTTCGGATATTTGTCCTTGTGAAATTTATGTATGTAAACTGCCCCCAGGATATAGTAGAAAAGTCAAGTGTGGAGATAACGCTTATTTTTTAAAAAGAAGAGAAGAAAAAGAGAAATAGACTGGATTCTGCGTTACCATTTTTCTTAATTAGGATTTTTCTTGTATCACAAAGGTGTTTTACAATGTTTTTTTTTTAAATCCATGTAGGATTTCACATGGACATGGAACAGTTATTGTAGGCCAAGCAAACTATTTTCCCGTGCGGGATTCGATCGCAAAGCCTGTAGGGTCGCAGCAAAGCCTAGGCACTGCTATAAAGAGCCTAGCCGTTTCTATGGTGTATAACATATCTTTATATATTGTTGGTATGACTGTTAGTGATCGGATAATTTCTAAATCAAATATTCACAGATTATTATTTATTTTGTCGAGACGATAGTTCATATGTAGATAGTAGATTAAAAAATTCTATATTTATGGACAAAAAAGTCGTCGATGTTCAGAATTCGGACCTGATAGGCGGCACATTGTAGTCGACTAACAGGTCGAGATCTTAACTCAATCAAATATAACTAATCACGCTCCCTACCGGAAAAGTCAGAAAACGTTTTTCAACCTTTACTTACTAGAAACAGAAACTTTTTTATTCAATATAGATTATAAATAATACTTATTGAAATTCACTCTTTTGTTTAATTACCACTATTTTTTTTTTATAGAATAGGGTGACAAACGAGCACACAGTCCACCTGATGGTAAGTGGTTGCTGTGGCCCATAGACATCTACTTTATTAGACATTACTTATTTATCCTCGTTTGCGTCTCTGGTTCTCTACACTCACCATACGAAACACAGCAGTGTTAAGCTGCTATTTTACGCTGGTATTCTGTTAGAAAGTGGTCTTTCCCCGGTCGAGCCGAACCACCACTACAACTATACTACTAATATAGCTGCAGCATGGCTCTACCACGTAAATAATAAAATAATAAAACTATTATAATAAAGCACTATTGCATATAACATAGAAAGTGCTTACCAATTGAAAAGATGACACGTCGCCATTTCCCGCTGAAGCCGAAAGAAAAAGGACCGCCAACTAAAAAAAAAATTGAGTCAATGAAAATATTTACATTCTTTTTCTTTTTTATGGGCATGTAAGGGAACCTTTTTTATTTATAGAAGAGCAGACAAACGAGCATGCTGATCACCTGATGGTAAGTGTCGACCACCGCCCGTTAACAACTGCAACACCAGGCGATTTCGAGGTGGGTTGCTGGCCTTTTAAAAAAGGTGTAAGCTCGTTTGTTGAAGATCCATAAGCCGTATAGGCCCTAATGAATTCTTATATTTATTGGAACCCCGTAACTACGGGTGCTGTAAAGCACCCGAAACATCGGTAATAAAAAATTCACAATTAAAAACGATAAAATCTGTAACATTAGTTTCTTTTAATCGTATAGGCCCGGTAAATTGCCAGCGATAAACGATTCCACAAAGAGGTTGAGCGAGGACGAAAAATCTTAGTAAAACACACATTGGTGGACCGCCAAGCATACAGTTTTGTCGCGATGTGCTTCGGTGGAATTTGGCGGCTGGTGTTAGTCCAAACAATTCATCTGAGCACCCCCCGCAGTTAATACGATAAAAAGCATGCCTCAATCATCACTCTTGACAGACGTATTGATTACCTGAAGCTATTTTGATACTGCTTCCAGTCACCGGTCGAAGTAAACTACACACCAGTTTACGCCTGACTAAGTGGTTTACCAGAAACTATCGGAAACTAGCGGCCAGTATGATCTTCAGGTTCATTTAGGTACATAGGTTACAACTATTCAACTATTTAGTTAAGTACATAGTTTACGACTAAATTGTGGGGATATCCTGAGTAGGACTATTAGATTTTCAATCTAGCCCAGAAGATACTCAGCCGAGCTAGGCGGACTGTTACCTTGTCTAGAACTTTAATGTCGTAAAAAACATTTTTTTTTAGCAAACTCTAACAGACAATATAATTTAAAATTAAAACAATTGTACAAACGACTTCAATATATATTATTAAGGATAACTCCAAAACTATTTGTGAGACCTTGAACAAATTTATATGGGACCACACGAGAAGCACCAGCTTTCAAAAAGAATCATCGAAATCGGTTTAAGTAGAATAAAATTATGAGGTAACATATAAAAACAAATAAAATACAGTCCAATTAAGTAGCACCTCCTTTTTGAAGTCGGTAGCAAAAAACACTAGCATATCTGGTTAGCAACTAAATTAAGGATTATCAGAAATTATGTACATATTTCGTCAGCTTGATAATGAATATGTTTCTTTGTTTTTAAAATTACTCTTTGGTCAGCAGAATTATACAATCGGTAAGGTTAGGTTGGCTTTCCTAGTTTTATTTTATTCTCAAATAGAAAGTAGAGTAGTCAACCATTAATTAAAGTAATAAATGATTTTACAATAACTCAATGTAGTATCTAATAATTAAAAAAAATATATATTAAACCAGCTGACCAGGCAGACGTTGTTCTGCCCTTTCCGACGACCATTTGCTTTCCTAAAAAAATTCTCCTGGGATTAGCAATAAAAAAATTGAGGGTCACTTATCGGGATAAAAACCATCCTATCTCTCAAGTTGGACCAAACTGCACACAGTGTGCAAAATTTCATTGAAATCAGTTCATTGGTTTAGGAGTTCATCGCGGACAAACAGCGTGACACGTAATTTTTATATCTGAAGATTTATCTATACTATAAATAAATAAAATTGAAGTGTCTGTTTGTAATATTAAAATAACAGCTTTTTACTAAATGCATATGTAAATATATGCGGTACCTACTAATAAGAAAAAAACAATTTATTAACATTTTTGTCTGTCTGTTTGTTCCGGCTAATTTCCGAAATAACTGGACCGATTTTGACGGGACTTTCACTAACAGATAGCTGATGTTATAAGGAATAACTTAGGCTACTTTTATTTTAGAAAAAGAACTAGAGTTCTGCGCATAAAAATTAAGACCCATGAAATCTAATAATCGAAATAAATTCCACGGGGGCGAAGTCGCGGGAAACAAAAAAATGCGCACTTATGTTGATGTAAAAATAAAGTTAGAAAAAATCAAAATTATTTTACAGCTTGCCAAATACTTTTTTTCTAGAATAGGATGACAAACGAGCACACAGTCCACCTGATGGTAAGTGAACGCTGTGGACCATAGACATCTACATTTATCCTCAATTAAGAATCAAAATGCAGATGCGTTGTCACCCCCGAGGACTAAGATGGAATGCCTCTTTTCCAGTAAAAAGGGTCTCCGGTTATCTACACTCACCATACGAAACATGAAGCTGCTATTTTACGATGGTATGGTGAGAGCGTGGTCCTACCCCGGTCGAGCTGACCCATTCGTGCTACAACTATAATATAGCTGCAGTCTGGCTCTACCACGTAAAAAAAATCCTATGACATCAATTTTAAGCATAACATAAGGCAAGTTCACTTTGTTTGCTTACAAAATACACTTTGAAGCTGACCAAAACCTTTATAATTAGTTTTAATGATATCCATTCTAAAATATTCAAAAACTTACGATACATGTCCCAAACAACAAGTTTTTCCATGCCATCGGTGTGACTTTTGCGCTGACCGTTTTCTTAATAATTGCTCGTAGTAACTTGTTAGTTGTTATCGCTTGGATATAAAATTTAATTTGATAAAAACAAATGAAAGCCTGCATGCCAGTAAAAACTTTTTATACAAGTAAGGATGACAACCTCACTGTATTGTGACGACTTCAATCCACATCCCCATAATTTATTCCGTGAGTTTGTAAGAGGCGACAGAGGGAAATTCCATTCCAACTCCAATTCGGGAAGGGGCATCTTCCTGATAACAATTATAAAATTAATAAAAATACTGCGGTTCCCAAGTCGAAAGTAGAAAAGGGACGTTATTTATTTATTTATCTTATTTATATTTATAGAAGAGTGATAGTAAGTGTCAACCGCCGCTCATGAAATACTGCAGCACCAGGGGAATTGCAGCATTTAAAAAGGATTAAGCACGTTTCTTGAAGGTTCCCAGTCGTATACGGAAAAATTACTGGTATAGTTGTAGCACGAGTGGGTCGGCTCGACCGGAGAAAACGCTGCTGTGTTTCGTATGGTGAATGTAGAGAATCGGAGACACTTTTTGCTGGAAACGAGGCATTCCATCTTAGTCCACAGGGTGACAATGCATCTACATTTTGATTCGTAATCGAGGATAGATGTAGATATCTATGGGCCACAACAACCACTTACCATCAGGTGGACTGTGTGCTCGTTTGTCACCCTTATCCTATAAAAAAGGTAGACGATTCCACAAAGAAATTCCGCGAGGAAGGAAACTACTAGTAAATCACACAGTGGTGGACCGCTTAGTAGACAAGTGAGGGTAGAACTCGGCATCCCCACTTGTTTGAGAAGTACAAAATTTACCGCCTCGTTGATCTAGTGATCGTAAGTGCTAGGGATGAGCAAGAGGAAAATATCGATATATATCGAATTTATATTTTTAAACACTATCGATATATATCGTGTGATAAATATCGATATATCGTCATCATTTGCATGACGTAAAGATAAGGTCCAAAATTTTATTTACTGACGGTTGGACGACGAAAAAATCGATATAACATCTTAAAATATATCGAAATTGATACGAATTCGATACTCTAAAATAAATATTGATATTTCGATATATCGATATTTTTTGCCCAAGCCTAGTAAGTGTCACAATGTAGTGTCCTAACCACTAGACGGTCACGACCACGATTTTCTCAGTGACTTGCGTTCCATGTTAGTCCTCACGGGAGATAACGCATCTGCATTTTGATTCGCAAACAAGGATAGATGTAGATGTCTATGGGCCACAGCAACCACTTACCAGCAGGTGGACTGTGTGCTCGTTTGTCACCATATCCTATAAAAAACCCTATTATTATAATGTAATAAATGTAAGATGTGATTTTGAAGTTGGGCGGACTTCCACTAGATGGAGTGACGACCTGGTATGCGGTTTAGGTGGCTAAGGACCGTGCTTTGTGATTTTTATTGAGGAGGCAGGGAGTCCTATGTTCAGGCTTTAATGATGATGATTATAACCTGTTTTATTTAATGTTATAGGCCATGCTGCAAAAAAATGTACTGTAAAATATCAGTTAATTAATAAGTAATTTATATTTGACACAATTGATTGTACTTGTATTAGAATGCATGTAAGTTGACAAAAGAAAACCACCAGTTTCATTTTAAGGTCTATTTAATTGTAAATTTAATGTAAAGATTTTGTATACTCTTAGTTCAATACAATATCAGTTAAACTCAATATGAACAAAACATTGTGGTATTGGCATAAAAATCTAGCACCCTATGGGTTGTAAGAGGCAACAAATAGAAAAAAAAACCTCCAAAAACCAGTGACCTCTTACAGCGGCGGTAGTCACTTACCATCAGGTGAGCCGCATGCTCGCTTGACCCCCTCCCTCTCAGTAAAAAAAAAAGATAGTGAGATAACCTCTTGAAAAGTACCAGACCAAAATTAAGCAGACTGATGATGAGCAGCAGTATATAATTGAGAAGTGTCTGGTACTACAAACACAAATTTGCTTTCTGAGTGTGGCAGTTGTAGCAGTATAGGCATATACAAAAATATAAAATAAAGAACACTTTTTGTAAAAGTTTCGAGTTTGAATATTTTTTTTTAAGAATAAGTGCACATAATGTGTGTGAATTTAAACAGAGTAATTTTGAGAATGATATAGCAATGTAATAAATTTATAAAATATTTCTTTAATATATTCTTATATAATCTTTAAATTTCAGAGTCACACAAGACGCTCCACTTATTTCCAAACCCAGTTGAGACTGAGCGCTTTAAGGAGTGGATTTTATCTATTGGAGGAGACATTCTTGGTTTGGATAATGAGTACATTTTTAAACAACGCCGAGTATGCCATGCTCACTTTGAAGAGAGATATTGCTGCCGAAATAACAGAATAAGCAATATTGCAGTGCTAACAATAAATTTACCAAGTAAGCTATGTGAATTCTCAGTTCTAATTGGACTGTGCTATGCAGAATTGATTTTTATGCCACTAATACACAGCATACGATACATTTTCAGTATATAAATCAACTTTTAATACACAAATATTATGGTTTTTTTTTTATAGAATAAGTGTGACAAGCGAATAAGCCCACCTGATGGTAAGTGGATGATATGGCCAATAGGCATCTACATCTATCCTAGATTAAGAATTAAAATGCAGATGTGTTGTCACTCCTAATGACTGAGATGGAATACCTTATATCCAGTAAAAAATGGTCTTTGGTTCTCACACTCACCAAACAAAACACAGCAGCATTAAGCTCCTATTTTATGCTGGTATTTCGTGAGTGAGTGGTCCTTCCCAAGTCGAGTCAACCCATTCGTACTACAACTATAATATAGCAGCGGCATAGCTCTATCACATTTAAAATTAAATCAAATAAAACACAAACATTAGTTAATGAGTTCCCACCAACATTTTATTCCATCTAAATATGTATGCTACATATCAGTAAATCACATTTTAAATGTTTTAGCAATCAAATATATATTGACTTTACATTATAGTATAGGTAAGCTTAATGTTTAAACCATTTCATTACATTTTTCGGAACCGATCTCTCCCTATACGAGGGCGGCACTGAAAATTTCGGGAATCAAGGAAGTGACACAACATTACTATTTAAAAATGTATTTATTGATTTTCGAAGTATTCTCCGCGAAATTTGACAAATTTTTTCATACGATGGAACCAATCATTGAAGCAACCATTCCATTCGGAAGTTGGGGTCTCCAAAATGGCCGTTTTATAGGCGTCCACAGCTTCTTCAGGTGATGAAAATATCTATCCACGCAATTTATTCTTTATTTTAGGGAAAGTATAGAAATCATTAGGCCTTAGGTCGGGGCTGTACGGCGGATGGTCAAATAATTATATGTTTTCTTGCTCTAAAAACTCTTTTGTTCTGTGTGCGGTGTGAGAACTCGCATTGTCGTGATGGAGGATGATGCGGCGGTTGCAGTTCTCTTTACGAAGTTCAGAAACGACCTGTGGCAAACAAATGCTAGCATACCATTCTGCATTAACCGTTCTTTGTCCCTCAAGAGGAATAGTCGTAACATGGCCGGTTTTGGAGACAAACGTGGCCACCATTTTTTTGCAACACTCCGTGAACGAACAATTTTTGTTGGCTTTAACTCATTTTCGAACACCCAAACTCGTGACTGGTTTTTTGTTTCGGATTCGTACGCGTATATCCAGGATTCGTCACCCGAAACAATGTTGTATACAGCATTTGAGGATCCTGCGTGGAATCTTTCGAGAGTTGGGACGCACCAAGTAACGCGAGCCGCTTTTTGCTCTTCACATAGCGAATGCGGTATCCATTGGGAAAACAACTTTTTTACACCTAATTGTTCATGCAAGATTATTTTTATTTGACTCATGCCAATGTCTAAAGTTGCCTGAATTTCGCGGTATGTGACATGTCGATCTTCCTCAATCAGCTTACGCACAGCATCAACGTTTTCTTGGGTGACTGCAGTTTTTGGACGACCTTGACGGGGATCATCACTGAGCTTGACACGTCCACGTTGAAATTCAGCAAACCAGCGATAAATTGTGGTTTTGGATGGGGCTTCATCGCCAAATGCAGAAATCATCCGGTCAACACACTGTTTTTGTGTTAAACCACTTTGAAAGTCATAATAAATCATCGTTCTTGAATTTTCTCGAGTCAATTCCATTTTCTCAACGACTAAACAAGTTTGACAAAACCTTGTGACAAGACCGAGAATCTTTTTTTAAATAAGTAAATGGTATTCGATTTTTAAAACCAAGGAGTTTTCAAATAAAAAGATTTTAATATGACAGGAACAGTGGAAATATTCCATTCCCGATACTTTTAGTGCAGCCTATGTATTTACACTCTCTGAAAGAAGACCACTTAGGCAAATAGAGTATTCTTGAAAACCTGTATCTGTCAACCTCACCAGGTAATTATAAAAGGGTTGCATTTCACTACTATTAATATGCTCACTGTTTGTTACATAATAAAGGAAACATTTTACATTAACCCAATATGATGCTTTTAAAGGAACTAAAATATTAACTACACTTCAAAAGCATCCTGACAAATTAATTTCTATTCCTTAAGTCGAAAATCATCAATTTCTATTATACTGCTCTTGTAGACTTTGTTATGCCTTAAATAGTTTTATTTCTTATCTTTTAAAAGAGAATTAATTGCAGATATATTTGATGTGCCTTGGTCACTAATTGTAGCGACAATAATTAAGCCACATTCTCTTAATCTTCTAATTATCATCATTCATCATTACAGCCACGTAAGTAAATCCACTGCTGAACATAGGTTTCTCCCAAGGAATGCCACAAAGCATGGTCCTGAGCCACCTGCATCCATCGACTTCCTGCATATCTTACCAGGGTGTCACTCCATCTCGTGGGGGTCGCCCTACACTTCGCCTACCGGTACGAGGCTGCCACTCAAGAACCTTTCTTCACCATCGGTTGTC